AGCCCCTATAAAGCCCCTATAGCCCCCATACACCCCCTGTAGCCCCCTTATAGCCCCCCATAGAGCCCCATAGACCCCCAGAACCCCCATAGCCCCCCATAGAGCCCCATAGCCCCCCATAGAGCCCCTATAGCCCCCCCTTTACCCCTGCTCAGCTCCCGCAGCCGCTCCCGCCCGCCCCGGGCCCGATCCTGCAGGTCCCGGCTCTCCTGTTCCAGCGCCTCCAGCACAGGGGGGGCCGGGGAGCGCCCCCCCCACGGGGACCCCCCCGGGGCCGCTTCCGCTGCAGCCACCGCGGCCCGGAGCTGGGGGGGGTATAGGGGGGATATGGGGTGATATAAAGGGTCTATAGGGTGATATTGGGGTGCTCTGGGGTGATGCAAGGGGGCTATGGGGTGATATGGGCGGCCAATGGGGTAATGTGAGGGGGCAATGGGGTAATATAGGGGGGCTATGGGGTGATATAAGGGGTCTGTGGGGTGATAGAGGAGGGCAATGGGGTAATATAGGGGGGCTATGGGGTGATATAAGGGGTCTGTGGGGTGATACAGGAGGGCAATGGGGTAATATAGGGGAGCTATGGGGTGATATAAAGGGGCTATGGGGTGATATAAGGGGTGTATGGGGTGATACAGGGGTGCTATGGGTGATTGGAACTAGGTGATCTTAAGGTCCTTTCCAACCCTAACTGTTCTATGATATAGATAGGTGATATTAGGTGACTGGGGGGTGATATAGGGGTGCTATGGGTGATGTAAGGAGTCTATGGGGTGATATAAGGGGACTATGGGGTGATTTAAAGGGTCTGAGGGGATGTAGGGTGCTATGGGGGGGTCCCACCTGCAGGAGGCGCTGCTGCAGCCGCTGGAGCTGCTGATGCTGCTCGGTCACCAGCAGGAACAGCGAGAAGGTTTGGGCCCCCCCTGCACCCCAAAGCGCCCATTGGGGACCCCCAACATCAATGCCCACCACCCTCAGACCCCAAAGCGCCCATTGGGGACCCCCAACATCAATGCCCACCACCCTCAGACCCCAAAGCGCCCATTGGGGACCCCCAACATCAATGCCCACCACCCCCAGACCCCAAAGCACCCATTGGGGACCCCCAACATCAATGCCCACCACCCTCAGACCCCAAAGCGCCCATGGGGGACCCCCAACATCAATGCCCACCACCCCGGAGCCCAAAGTGCCCATTGGGGACCCCGAACGTCAATGCCCCCCACACCCCAACGTCAATGGGGCCCCCCTGTCCCCCAACCCTTTACATCGCCCCTCACCCTCCTCTTCCTCCTCTGGCTCCTCCTCAGGGGTCTCCAGCGCCTCAGGGGGGGGTTCAGGGGGGACCCAGGCACGTGCTGGGGACACACACACCCCCCATCAGCACCCCGAAAAACAGGGACCCCCCCTTGCTGCCCTATGGGACCCCTCAATTGCTGCCCCATGGGACGCCTCCCTTGCTGCCCTATGGGACCCCCCCCGTTGCTGCCCTAAGGGAGCCCTCATTGTTAAACTATGAGACCCTGCCATCACTGCCCTATGGGACCCCCCCCCATTGCTGCCCTGTGGGACCCCCCCTTGCTGCCCTATGGGACCCCTCAATTGCTGCCCCATGGGTCACCCCCCTTGCTGCCCTATGGGACCCCCCCATTGCTGCCCTATGGGAACCCCCCCTTGCTGCCCTATGGGACCCCTTATTGTTACCCTATGAGACCCCGCTGGGACCCCCCCATCGCTGCTCTATGGGACCCCCCCCATCGCTGCCCTATGGGACCCCTCATTGTTACCCTATGGGACCCCGCCATCGCTGCTCTATGGGACCCCCCCATTGCTGCTCTATGGGACCCCCCATTGCTGCCCTATGGGACCCCTTATTGTTACCCTATGAGACCCCGCTATCGCTGCTCTATGGGACCCCCCCCATCGCTGCTCTATGGGACCCCCCCATCGCTGCTCTATGGGACCCCCCCCATCGCTGCCCTATGGGACCCCCCCATCGCTGCCCTATGGGAAGCGACCCCTCATTGTTCCCGGCGCTGCTGACCCCCCCATCGCTGCTCTATGGGACCCCCCCATTGCTGCCCTGTGGCACCCCTGGACCGTTCCACTGTGCCGGTACCGGGGGGGGCCCGGGCCCGCTCCTTCGCCCGCAGGAAGCGCCTCAGGTCCCGGCGCTGCTGCCGCCGCCTCCCCTGCTCCTGAGCCTCGGCCTCGGCCTGAGCCCGGAGCTGCCGGAGCCGGGCCTGGAGCCGGGCCCGGAGCGACTCCGCCTGCGCCCTGCGGGGAGGGGGATATATAGGGGGATATGGGGTATAGGGGGTATGGGGTATATGGGGGGTATGGGGGTATGGGGTATATGGGGTATATGGGGGGTATGGGGTATAGGGGATATATGGGGTATATGGGGGGTATTGGGGTCTCTGCCTGTTGCTCTCTGCAGCCGTCTCCTGCTCCAGCACCTCCTCGATCTCCCGTTGGGTTTCCTCCAGCTCCTGCAGCCAATCAGAGGCCTCCATCACGGCAGGATCCACAGCCTGGCCAATCAGAGCCCTCTACCCCCAGAGGGCATCCTCCTCCCAGCCAGTCAGCTCTTATCACCATTGGATCCCACTCTCAGCCAATCAGAGCCCTCCATCCCACCCATGTTTCTAATGGAGGATTCCCCCTTCCAGCCAATCAGATCACATCACTAAGGGATCCCACTCCCAGCCAATCAGATCACATCACTAAGGGATCCCACTCCCAGCCAACCAGATCACATCACTCAGGGATCCCGCTCCCAGCCAATCAGATCACATCACTAAGGGATCCCGCTCCCAGCCAATCAGATCACATCACTAAGGGATCCCGCTCCCAGCCAATCAGATCACATCACTAAGGGATCCCGCTCCCAGCCAATCAGATCACATCACTCAGGGATCCCACTCCCAGCCAATCAGATCACATCACTCAGGGATCCCGCTCCCAGCCAATCAGATCACATCACTAAGGGATCCCGCTCCCGGCCAATCACAGATCCCGCTCCCAGCCACAGATCACATCACTAAAGGATCCCGCTCCCAGCCAATCAGATCACATCACTAAGGGATCCCGCTCCAGCCAATCAGATCACATCACTCAGGGATCCCGCTCCCAGCCAATCAGATCACATCACTCAGGGATCCCGCTCCCAGCCAATCAGATCACATCACTCAGGGATCCCGCTCCCAGCCAATCAGATCACATCACTAAGGGATCCCGCTCCCAGCCAATCAGATCACATCACTCAGGGATCCCGCTCCCAGCCAATCAGATCACATCACTCAGGGATCCCGCTCCCAGCCAATCAGATCACATCACTCAGGGATCCCGCTCCCAGCCAATCAGATCACACCGCTGATGGATCCCATTGTTCCCGCTCTCACCCTCTCCCGCGCCCGCAGGAGCCGCCGCAGCCGCCGCCGCTCCCCCCGGAGCCGCTCCAGGTCCCGGCGCAGCCCCGCGGTGACGCGGAGCCAGGCCCCGAGCGCTGCCCCCGCCTGCCCCATAGAGACACAGAGGGACCCACAGAGACCCATAGGGACCCACAGAGACCCATAGGGACCCATAGAGACACATAGGGACCCACAGAGACCCATAGGGACCCATAGAGACACATAGGGACCCACAGAGACCCATAGGGACCCACGGAGACACATAGGGACCCACAGAGACCCATAGGGACCCATAGAGACACATAGGGACCCACAGAGACCCATAGGGACCCACGGAGACACATAGGGACCCACAGAGACGCATAGGGAACCACAGAGACCCATAGGGACCCATAGACACCACATAGAGACCCATAGAGACCCCATAGACATAGACACGGATGGACCCCCCCATGGACACACAAAAGGCCCCCATAGATTCCCATTAGCACCCATTGACCCCCCATCGACCCCCATGGACCCAGGCATCCCCCATAGGACCCACATGGACCCGCACCCCGCCATGGGACCCCCCCGCCATGGGTGCGGGGCTCCTCACCCGCTGCAGCTGATCCTCCAGCGCCATCTGTGGGCAGAGAGCGGGGGGTTCCCACCGGGACCCCCAGGTGTGGGGCCCGGGACCCCGCAAAGAGCCCTCTCCTGCTCCATTGGGCCCCCTTCTGCCCCACATCCCCCCCACACCTCAGCCTCTGCTGCTGCTCTGTTGGGAGCAACCAATGGGAGGCAACGCCAGCGGGAGGCGGGGCCGAGCTCCCCCTCCCGGCCCCACAACTGCCCCCTAAGTGCCCCCCCTGCCCCACCACCGCCCTGTAACCCCCCCCACATCTCCCTTCTGCCCCCCCCAACCCCCTCCCTCTGCCCTACCGCTGCCCCCCAAGTGCCCCCCCCCCCCATGGGGCTCCAGCCGCACAAGTGCCCCCCACGTGACCCCAGGAGCCTCCGCTGCCCCCCAAGTGCCCCCGGTAAGACCCACACGTGGAGGGTGGGAGAGCCAGCGGAGACCACGTGACGACGCTGCCGTTGCCATGGTGCCGCCAGGGGGGTGTGGGGCGTGGCCGTGCTGCACCACGTGACTCCATTCATCCCCCCCCTCGTCCGCCCGGGGCTGCGGTCACGTGGTCCGATGGGGGTGTCACCATGGCAACGGCAGGAGGAGACGGGCCCTTGCCTTGTCCAATCAGAGGCTGGGAGGGGCCCTGGCGTGCGGCCAATCACAGGTGAGGCGTGGATTTCCCCCCCCCCCTTTTGATGCTGCAGCCAATCAGCGCCTCAGCCAATGAGAGCCCAGCACAGCAGTTGGGCACTAAACAAATCGACCAATCAGGGAGTGATCTGTGTGTGTGTGTGTGTCCTCCGTGGCCCAGGGCCACAGCCAATGGGATCCATGGATCCAGTGGGTCCCGCTCTGGCAGCCAATCAGAGGCTGCGGTTGAGGCTGGGGGGGGGGGGGGAGGGGAGCAGGAACCAGAGGCCCCTCCCCCACATTGGTCCCCACCCATTGAGCTTCCCGGGGTGGGGGGAGGGGCCTCTGGGTGTGCCCGGGGTGGGAGAGGGGGAGGGGCAGCGGCGTTTGGGGCCCAAAACGGTTTTGGGAGCGTCCGGACGCCTGCGAGGGTGAGGGGGGGGAGGGGGACACGGGGGGGGAGGGGGCGGGGAGGTGGGAGCTTGGGGGAGGTCGAGGGGGGGGAGGGGTGGGGGGAGGGGAGGGGGGAGGGGAGGGGGGGAGGGGTGGGCCTCTTTCCCCCTCCCCTCCCCCACAGCTGTTTCCTGCCCACATCTGGAAGTGATTGAGGGGGGAGAGGAGAGCGGGGAAGCGGGGGGAGGGGTGGGGATGGGGGTCACGAGGGTCCCTCTGACCCCGCCCCCTCCCCCCCCCCAGTTCCCGCCATGAGCTTCCTCCTGTTCGCGCTCACCGGGCTCCACGGCCTCGGCCTCCTCCTGCTCTTCATCGCCACCCTGGGCAAGGTGCGACCCACAGCGACCCATAGGGACCCACTGCAACGCATAGCGACCCATAGAAGGGGTTGGGATGCACAGTGGGACCCATAGAAGGGGTTGGGATGCACAGTGGGACCCATAGAGGGGGTTGGGATGCACAGTGGGAACCCATAGTGGGACCCATTGCAGGGAGATAGGGGGAGGCTGGAACCATAGCAGGGGATATGAGAGGGGGTTGGGCCCATAGCGGGACTCACTGAGGAGTATGGGGTGTATTAGGGTGTCTCTGGGTTTCTATGGGGTGTCTATGGGTGTCTCTGTGAGTGTCTATGGAGTTGTCTATGGGGTCTCTATGGGTGCCTATGGGGTGTCTATGGGGTCTCTATGGGGTCTCTATGGGTGTCTCTGGGGGTCTCTGGGGGTCTCTGGGGGTCTCTGTGGGTCCCAGTGCCCCACACGCCCCCTGTGCCCCCCAGGCCTGGTGGGTGCTGCCGGACGGGGGGACCCTGAACCTTTGGTACGACTGCGAGTACCTGAACAGCACCCATGGGTGGGCCTGCACCAGCACCGGGGACAGCCGTGAGCCATGGGGGCTATGGGGCAGGGGGGGGGCTGACGGGGACTATGGGGACAGGAGGGGCCAGTGGTACCCATGGGAGATGCGGGATGTGTGGGGCACAGAGCACCCGTGGGGGTCAGCCATCGGGTACCTGTGGTGCCCATGGGGCTCCATATGGGGCACGTGGGATGTGTGGGGCACCCAGCACCCACGGGGGTAGATGGAGGGTTCATGGGGTTATATGTGTGTGACCCACAGGGCTACCCACGTATCATGCATGTGTCATACATATGTCATACGTGTACCATACCTGTACCATACATGCCATGCACGTGGCATACATGTTGCATGTGTATCATGCCTGTCATGTGTGTCATGCATGTGTCATACATGTACCATGCCTATGCAACACATGTACCATACGTGTGTCATACATACCATACATGCATCATACATGTGAATCATGCATGTGTCATACATGTACCATACATGTACCGTGCGTGTACCATACATATACATTACGTGTCCCACACATGCATCACGTGTGTCCCACGCGTGTCCCAGCCTGCCTGCGTGCCACACGGGGGCTCCTGCCCACGGCGCTGCTGCTCTCGGCCGCCTCCTTTGGGCTCTTCCTCTGGCAGCTCCGGGGGGGGCCCCGAGGGAGCTTCTTCACCCCTGCGGGGGGCACCCAACTGCTGGCAGGTCAGTGGGACCCCCCCATATAACCCAATGGACCCTCCCAACCCCCATTGAACCCAATGGACCCTCCCAGCCCCCATTGAACCCAATGGACCCTCCCAACCCCCATTGAACCCAATGGACCCTCCCAACCCCCATTGAACCCAATGGACCCTCCAACCCCCACTGACCCCTCTGGACCCTCCCAACCCCCATTGAACCCAATGGACCCTCCCAACCCCCATTGAACCCAATGGACCCTCGCAACCCCCATTGAACCCAATGGACCCTCCCAACCCCCATTGAACCCAATGGACCCTTGAACCCAATGGACCCTCCCGACCCCCATTGAACCCAATGGACCCTTCCAACCCCCACTGAACCCAATGGACCCTCCCAACCCCCATTGAACCCAATGGACCCTCCCAACCCCCCCATTGAACCCAATGGACCTTTCCAACCCCCTCATTGAACCCAATGGACCCTCCCAAACCCCCCATTGAACCCAATGGACCCTCCCAACCCCCACTGAACCCAATGGACCCTTCCAACCCCCATTGAACCCAATGGACCCTCCCAACCCCCATTGAACCCAATGGACCCTCTCAACCCCCATTGAACCCAATGGACCCTCTCAACCCCCATTGAACCCAATGGAACCTTCCAAACCCCATTGAACCCAATGGAACCTCCTAACCCCCATTGAACCCAATGGAACCTTCCAAACCCCATTGAACCCAATGGAACCTTCCAAACCCCATTGAACCTAATGGACCCTCCCAACCCCCATTGAACCCAATGGACCCTCCCAACCCCCCCATTGAACCCAATGGACCTTTCCGACCCCCATTAATCCCAATGGACCCTCCCACCCCCCCCCCTTGAACCCAATTCACTCTCCCACCCCCCCCATTAATCCCAATGGACCCTCCCAACCCCCCCATTGAACCCAATGGACCCTCCCACCCCCCCCATTGATCCCAATGGACCCTCCCACCCCCCCCATTAATCCCAATGGACCCTCCCACCCCGTGGCCCCGCCCCCCGGCGCCGCAGCGCCCCCTCACGTTCTCTTCCCGCAGCGCTGGCGGCGCTCTTGGGGGCGGGGCTTTACGCGGCGCGGGGAGGGCGCCCCCTGGCGGGCGCCTTCGGCTACTGCTTCGGCCTGGCCTGGGCGGCCGCGGCGCTGGCGCTGGGCAGCGGCTGCGCGTATCTGCGCCTGCGCAAGGGGGCGTGACCGCGCCGGGACACGCCCCCCGCCGCCAAGCCCCGCCCTCCGCCACGGCGCCCCCTGCTGGGTCCCCGAAACGGCCGACCCAGGCATCGGTCAGTGACGTCATTGCACTGTGATGTCATCGATGGTGTCAGCGTGGTCAGTGATACGGACAATGATGTCATCAAAGGCATCGGCACGGCCAATCACGTCAACTGAAGACCAGTGCGGTCAATGACGTCACCAATGGCGTCAATGTGGTCGATGACATCCTCAATAACACATCATCAATGGCGTCAATGTGGTCGATGACGCCATCAACGGCATCAACATGGTCAATGACATCATCAACAGCATCACCAGTGGCACCAGCACAGTCAATGACATCATCAATGGCAGCAACAGAGCCAATGACGTCACCAACGCGTCAACATGGGCAGTGGCATCATCAACAGCTTCCATGCAGCCAGTAGCATTCCCAATGACGTCATCAACAGGACCAGCGCAGCCAATGACGTCACACCAGCGGCAACGTGACCGCCAGCCTTGCCAACAGACTCAATGTCACTGATGACATCATCAGTGACATCACCAACAGCACCAGCAGGGCCAACAGCCCCACCAGTGACACCAGCATGGCCAATGACGTCACCTTGACGTGGTCGTGACGTCACCCTCCCCTGGCAGTGATGTCATGGGCCGGGTGTGATCTCATTGGCTACTCCCCACCTCCATGCAGAGGAATAAAACCTGAACACCCAGTGCACTGTGGGTAATGGGGGGGGGGTCAGACCCTCTGCATTGCCCCCAGGGTGCTGTGGGGTGCTATGGGGTGCTATGGTGTGCCATGGGGCGCTATGGAGTGCTATGGGGTGATATGGGGAGCAATGTGGGGTTTAGGGGGGTGCTGGGGGCTACAGGCCTGGGGAATGAGCAGTATTTGGGGGTGCAGGGGAGTGCAAAAGGGGATCTGGGGTTATTTGGGGGTGTTTTGGGGTATTTGAGGTGTTTTGGGGTCATTTGGGTGTGTTTGGGGGTATTTGGTGTGTTTTGGGGGTATTTGGGTGTGTTTGGATTATTTGGGATTATTTGGGATATTTGAGGTGTTTGGGGGATATTTGGGGTGTATTTTGGGGGTACTTGGGGTATTTCGGGTGTTTTGGGGTTATTTGGGTCTATTTGCGGGTATTTGGGGTTGTTTGGGGGTATTTGAGGTGTTTTGGGGGTTGTTGGGGTCCTGGCGCCCCCGTCATTGACCACGCCCCCTCCCACACAGGCCACGCCCCTCAACTCTCTGCAAGCCACGCCCCCTGCGGGCGGGGCCAATCCGGCACAAGGGCGGGAAGGGCGAAGGCGGGAAGGGGGCGCGGAGGGGGGGGTCCTGCCCCAACGCTGCCCCCCCCCCACCCCCCCGCTCCGGGCGTTGGACGGGTCCGGAGGGGGCGGGGCCAGGCGGGAGGGGGCGGGGCCAGGGGAGGGGCGGGGCTGGCTCCGGGGCCGGTGTCCCAGTGACCGGCGGCAGCTGCGGGATGCGGTGGGGAGCGTGAGAGGTGAGCGGCGGGACCCGCAGCGGCGCCCCATAGAGCCCCATAGCGACCCATAGCGACCCCAATACACCCCATAGAGCTCCACAGCATCCCACAGCATCCCAATGATACCCAATAGCACCCCAATGACATCCCACAGCATCCCAGAAAGCTCCATAGCATCCCATAGCATCCCAATGATAGCCAATAGCATCCCAATGACATCTCATAGCACCCCATAGTGCCCCAATAGCACCCCAAAGACACTCCATAGCAACCCAATGACACCCCATAGCACCCCAATGATACCCAGTGGCACTCCATAGCATCCCAATGACACCCCACAGCCCCCCCAATAATGTCCAATAGCACCCCAATGACACTCCACAGCATCCCAATGATACCCAATAACACCCCATAGCACTCCATAGCACCCCAATGACACCCCATAGCACTCCATAGCACCACAATGATACCCAATAGCATCCCACAGCATCCCAATGGCACCGAATAGCCCCCCAACACCCCCCAATAACCCCCCCGCATACACCCGAACACACCCCCCTACACACCCTGGCCCCCTGCAATGCACCCCAATAGCCCTCAGGACCCCGTCACCCCCTCCCATCACAGCCCTGCACCCTCTGACAGCCCCACCATCCCCTATAGCCCCCAATAGCCCCCAACAACTCCCCTATAACCCCCAATGCTCCCCAATGCACCCCAATACCCCCATTGCCCCCATTGCCCCCATTCATTCCCCATCGCACCCGGGGGGGGGGCGGGCGGTGGGACCCGGCCCCGGCCCCGCAGCGGCCCCGCAGCCGCCGCCCCCGCCCCTGCATTTGTATTCAGCGAGCGGCGGCGGCGGCGGCTGCGGCAGGGCGGGGGGGGCGGGCGGGGACGGGCGGGGGCAAAGGGGGCAATGGGGGCCATGGGGGGTAATGGGGGGCAATGGGGGACAAAGGGGGTAATGGGGAGATAATGAGGTAATGGGGCAATGGGGGGTAATGGGGGGCAATAGGGGGTAATGGGGGCAATGGGGGACAAAGGGGGTAATGGGGGCAATGGGGTAATGGGGGGTAATGGGGGATAATGGAGGTAATGGGGGTAATGGGCAATGGTGACAATGTGGGTAAGGGGGTAATGGGGGAAATGGGGGATAATGAGGGTAATGGGTTGTAATGGGGGGTAATGGGGGTAAGGGGGTAATGGGGGGCAATGGAGGTAATGAGTGTAATGGGGTAATGGGGTAATGGAGGTAATGGGGGATAATGAGGGCAATGGGGGGCAATGGGGGGTAATGAGGGTAATGGGGAATAATGGGGGCCATGGGGCAATGGGAACCCAATGGATGAACTGGGGGGCAATGGGGGGGAAGATAAGTCCTGACCCTCCCCTTCTCTCCCTTTGCCAGGTGCAACCCCGACCCCCTCCCCAGACCCCCTGTTTCTGCCCCCCCCCAGTCCTTGTCCCTGTCCCTGTGTCCCCAACACCCCCCGCCCCCCCCCATCCCCCCCCAATTACCTCCCAGACCTTTGTCGTCCCCCCCTCCCCCCAAGGCCGAGATGTGGCTGAATCCCCCAGGACGGAGCTTGGAATGGGTAGGATGGGGGGGGACATTGGGAACATGGTGGGGAGGGAATAGGATGTTGGGTATGGGATATAGGGTATGAGATAGGGGGTATGGGATATGGGGTAAGGGATATGGGATATGGGGTATGGGATATGGGATATGGGGTATGGGGTATGGGATATGGGATATGGGGTGTGGGATATGGGGTATGGGATATGGGGTGTGGGGTATGGGGTACGTGGTATGGGGTATGGGGTATGGGATATGGGGTATGGGGTATGGGGTATGGGATATGGGGCATGGGGTATGGGATATGGGGTATGGGGTATGGGATATGGGGCATGGGATATGGGGTATGGGGTATGGGATATGGGGTATGGGGTATGGGATATGGGGTATGGGATATGGGGTATGGGATATGGGGTATGGGATATGGGGTATGGGATATGGGGTATGGGGTACCTGATATGGGTTATGGGGTATGGGATATGGGATAGTATGGGATAGGGGGTATGTAATATGGGGTGCGGGCTATAGGATATGGGCTATAGGACATGGGCTATATGGGCTATGTGCTGTGGGCTGTGGGGTCTCAGTGGTTGACGCTGGGGTCCCGGCTGCCCCCGGCGGTCGCTGCCCCCCCCATCCCCTCCCCGCTCCCCCCCAGCTCCCCCCACCATGAGCCCCGTGCCCAGGATGTTTTTCACCTTGGCCCTGGCCTGCGCCAGCCCCTTCCTGGCGCCCGAGGCCCCGCGGCGGGCGCTGAACGTGGCCGTGGTGCTGAGCGGTTCCTCCTACGGCGCCGCGGGGCCGCGCCTGGCACCGGGGCCGCTGCCGGGCTCCGCCTTCGAGGTGAACCCCATCGGGGTGGTGCTGAACGGCACCGACCCCCGGAGCCTCATCCTGCGCCTCTGCGACCTCCTCTCCTCCCTGCCCGTCCATGGCGTGGTCTTCGAGGACGATGCCAGCTCCGAGGCCCTGGCCCAGATCCTCGACTTCGTCTCGGCGCAGACGGCGGTGCCCATCGTGGCCATCAACGGCGGCTCCGCCATCGTCCTCACGCCCAAGGTGAGAGCTGGGGGGGGGCATTGCGGGCTTCTAGACATGGTTGGGATGGGTTTAGATGTGCTTAGGGACGCATTGGATGGATCTAGAGGTGGTCGGGATGAGATGGGTGCTTCTAGGTGGGGTTGGGTGCACCTAGATGGGGTTTGGATGGACCTAGAGGTGGCTGGGATGAGATTCGTGCTTCTAGAGGTGGTTGGATGCTTCCAGATGGGTTTGGGTGCCTCTAGATGGGGTTGGGATTGATCTCAAGGTGGTGGGGATGAGATGGATGCTTCTAGAGGTGGTTGGACGCTTCTAGATGGGGTTGGGTACTCCTATTGGGGTTGGTTGCTTCTAGATGGGGTTGGGATGGATCTAGAGGTGGTTAGTGACATGTTGAATGGATCTAGAGGTGGTTGGGATGAGATGGGTGCTTCTAGATGGGGTTGTGTGCTCTTAGATATGGTTGGGTGCTTCTAGATGGGGTTGGGATGGATCTAGAGGTGCTTGGGGTGAGATGGGTTCTTCTAGATATGATTTGGTGAATCTAGATGGGATTGGGATGGATCTAGAGGTGGTTGGGGGCTGTTGGATGGATCTGGAGGTGGTTGGGATGAGATGGGTGCTTCTAGAGGTGGTTGGATGCCCATAGATGGGGTGGGATGGACCTAGAGGTGCTTAGGGACACATTCGATGGATTTGGGTGGGGTTAGGATGAGTCTTGTGCTCCTAGAGGAGTTTGGGATGACCCTAGAAGTGGTTGGGTGCTGTTGGCTTGGGGATGCTCAAGGTGATGGGATGGGGGGGAGCTGGTCAGCAACAGAGGGGTGGATGGGGACAGGGAATCCCAAGTGGCCACAAGCACATCTGGGGCCACCCAAGTGCTTCCCAACCCTATCATCCCCAACCCTACCACGTTCAGACCCCCTCGACCACCCCAACCCAAGGGTCCCAACCATACCCAGAAGTCCCCAATGGTCCCCAACCCCATCGAGGCTCATCCCAACCATGCCCAGAGGTCCCCAATGGTCCCCAACCCCATTGAGACTCATCCCAACCATACCCAGAGGTCCCCAATGGTCCCCAACCCCATTGAGACTCATCCCAACCATACCCAGAGGTCCCCAATGGTCCCCAACCCCATTGAGACTCATCCCAACCATACCCAGAGGTCCCCAATGGTCCCCAACCCCATTGAGACTCATCCCAACCATACCCAGAGGTCCCCAATGGTCCCCAACCCCATTGAGACTCATCCCAACCATACCCAGAGGTCCCCAATGGTCCCCAACCCCATTGAGACTCATCCCAACCATACCCAGAGGTCCCCAATGGTCCTCAACCCCATTGAGACTCATCCCAACCATACCCAGAGGTCCCCAATGGTCCCCAACCCCATTGAGACTCATCCCAACCATACCCAGAGGTCCCCAATGGTCCCCAACCCCATTGAGACTCATCCCAACCATACCCAGAGGTCCCCAATGGTCCCCAACCCCATCGAGGCTCATCCCAACCATACCCAGAGGTCCCCAATGGTCCTCAACCCCATCGAGGCTCATCTCAACCCCATCCAGAGCCCCCCAAGTGCCCCCCTTCCCTTTCCCCACGCAGGAGAAGGGCTCCACGTTCCTGCAGCTGGGCTCCTCCACGGAGCAGCAGCTCCGGGTGATCCTGGAGGTGCTGGAGGAGTACGATTGGACGTCCTTCGCCGTCCTCACCACCCTGCTGCCGGGCCACGAGGACGTCGTGGACTACGTGGAGGTCCTGACCGATGGCAGCTTCATCGGCTGGGAGCACCGCGGCGTCCTCACGCTCAACCTCACCGGGGACCCCGACGGCTCCCGGCTGCGGCGCCAGCTCCGCGACGTCACCGCGCAGATCCGGCTCCTCTACTGCTCCCGCGACGAGGCCGAGGCCATTTTCCGTGCCGCCCACGACGTGGGCTTGACCGGCCCCGGTTACATCTGGTTCCTGGTGGGCACCAACCTGGCCGGGAGCAGCCGGCTCCCAGAGCACGTCCCCGCGGGGCTCTTCGCGGTGCTGTCGGCAGGGTGGAGGGACGAGCTCCAGCACCGGCTCCGCAACGGCGTCGCCATCGTGGCCAAGGGGGCCGAGGCGCTGCTGCGGGACTATGGCTTCCTCCCCGAGTTCAACAGCGACTGCCGGGCGCCCAACGTCACCCACACCAATGAGAACCTGCACCGGTGAGCACCAGGCACCAGCGCAGCCAAGGGCACCCAATGGGGCCCAACCCAACCACACCTGGCCCCACTCAACCATCCCCAACCCAACCATCCTCAACCATGCCTAGGGGCACCCAATAGACCCCAACCCAGCCACATCTGGACCCACTCGACCATCCCCAGCCCAACTGTCCCCAACCACTTCTAGGGGCACCCAGTGGTCCCCAACCATTGTCTATGAGCACCCAATGATCCCCAACCATTGTCTAGGGGCACCCAACTGTCCTCAACCCCAAATGTACCCAAGGTCATCCCAACCACATCTATGAGCACCCAATGGTCTCCAACCATTGTCTAAGGGCACCCAAGACCCACTTGACCATCCCCAACCCTTAGGATCGGCAATGGTGGTGCCGTGCTGCCATTGGCATCGTCACCTCTGCAGGTACTTCATGAACATCACGTGGGGACAGAAGGACTTCTCCTTCAACGAGGATGGGTACCTGGTGAACCCCTCCCTGGTGGTCATTTCCCTCACCAAGGAGCGGAGCTGGGAGGTGGTGAGTGCCCCATGGCGCCGGCGCCGTCACCATCACCATCGCCATCACCCCCATGTCCCGTCTCCCACATCCCGATGCTGTCCCCACGTCCCTGTACCCAGGTGGGCAGCTGGGAGCACCAAATCCTCCGCATGAAGTACCCGGTGTGGTCCCGCTACGGGAAGTTCCTCCAACCGGTCGATGGAGACCAGCACCTGATGGTGGCCACCCTGGAGGAGCGTCCCTTCGTCATCGTGGAGAGCATCGACCCCTCCACCGGCACCTGCATCCGTGACTCTGTGCCCTGCCGCAAGCAGCTCAACCGCACTTCCAGGTGGGTGCCCCCCTACTCTGGGTTCCCCATCGTGCCTCCTCCCCCCAAGTGTCCCCCCTGTTGCAGCCCCCATCTCCCCACAGCCCCACCATGGAGCTCTTCGAGAAGAAGTGCTGCAAAGGCTTCTGCATTGACATCCTCAAGCGCTTGGCGCGCACCGTCGGCTTCACCTACGACCTCTACCTGGTCACCAACGGCAAACATGGCAAGAAGATCGATGGGGTGTGGAATGGAATGGTGGGAGAGGTGGGGACAACACCACAGCACCCCGTGGATGGATGGGGGGGATCTGAGGAGGTTGGCAGGGGAAGAAGACTTGGGGGTGTCAAGGGGTCCTTTAGCCGCATCCCTCGCCGCAGGTGTTCTATGGGCGCGCGGACATGGCCATCGGCTCCTTGACCATCAACGAGGAGCGTTCCGAGATCATCGACTTCTCCGTGCCCTTCGTGGAGACCGGGATCAGCGTCATGGTGTCCCGGAGCAACGGCACCGTGTCCCCCTCCGCCTTCCTGGGTAGGGCCCTGCTGGTGTCACAGCGATGGCGCTGGCGACGCCGTGACGGTGACGACACCGCGACGGTGACACCGACGTCCCCCGTCCCCCCCACAGAGCCCTACAGCCCGGCCGTGTGGGTCATGATGTTTGTCATGTGCCTCACCGTGGTGGCCGTCACTGTCTTCATCTTCGAGTACTTCAGCCCCGTGGGCTACAACCGGAGCTTGGCCACAGGACAACGTGAGCTGGTGGCACCAAGAGAGGGGGGACGCGATGGGAGATGGGGGTCCCCATTGTCTCCATTGCCCCCATTATCCCCATTGCCCCCATTGCACCCTTTGCCCCCATTGTCCCCATAGGTGCTGGCGGCTCCACCTTCACCATCGGCAAATCCATTTGGCTTCTTTGGGCTTTGGTCTTCAACAACTCGGTGCCGGTGGAGAACCCCAAGGGCACCACCAGTAAGATCATGGTGCTGGTCTGGGCCTTCTTCGCCGTCATCTTCCTCGCCAGCTACACCGCGAACCTGGCGGCCTTCATGATCCAGGAGGAGTATGTGGACACCGTGTCTGGCCTCAGCGACCGCAAGGTGCCACCATGAGGGTGCCAATGGGGGCCGGGTCTGGGCTCCGTGGGGTGCCAATAGGTACCGATGGGTGTCGATGGGTGTTGATGGGTGCCAATGGGTGCTGATGGGTGCCGATGGGTGCCAATGGGTGTTGATGGGTGCTGATGGGTACCATTGGATGCCAATGAGTACCAATGAGTGCCGATGGGTACTGATGGGTACCGATGGGTGCCAATGGGTGTTGATGGGTGCTGATGGGTACCATTGGATGCCAATGCTTACCAATGAGTGCCGATGGGTACTGATGGGTACCGATGGGTGCCGATGGGTGTTGATGGGTGCTGATGGGTACCATTGGATGCCAATGAGTACCAATGAGTGCTGATGGGTACTGATGGGTGCCAATGGGTACCAATGGGTGTTGATGGGTGCCCATGGGTGCCCATGGGTGCTGATGAGTGCCATGGGGGACCAGTTCCAGCGCCCGCAGGAGCAGTACCCGCCGCTGCGCTTCGGGACGGTGCCGAACGGGAGCACGGAGAAGAACATCCGGAGCAATTACCCAGCCATGCACAGCTACATGGTGCGCTTCAACCAGCGCGGTGTGGAGGACGCCCTGCAGCACCTCAAGACAGGGTGCGGCCAAAGGGGTGCCAAAAGGGGAGGGGCCCCAAAGGGGCTGGGCTTGAAGGAAAGGGAGGGGCTGTGGGTGGAGCTTGGGGTGTGGGTGGGGCTTGGGGTGAAGGGAGGGGCTTAGGGTGAGGGGAGGGGCTTAAGGGTTCAGGTGAGCCTGTGGGTGGGGCTTATCGATGCATATATGGATATGGGCTGGTCTTACTGATATATATAGGCGGTGGGTGGGGCTTATTGATACATACATGGATGTGGGTGGAGCTTACTGAGACATATGGCTGTGGGTATGGCTTATTGGTCTGTATATGATTGTGAGCATAGGTTATTGATCCATATATGGTTGTGGGCGTGGCTGATCGATCCATATATGGCAGTGGGCGGGGTTTATCGCTCCCTATATGGCTGTAGGAAGCTGGACGCGTTCATCTACGACGCGGCGGTGCTCAACTACATGGCGCGCAAGGAGGAGGGCTGCAAGCTCGTCACCATCGGCTCGGGCAAGGTCTTTGCCTCCACCGGCTACGGCATCGCCCTGCAGCGCGGCTCCCGCTGGAAGCGCCCCGTTGACCTGGCGCTGCTGCAGCTCCTGGGCGACGGTACCGGGGGCACAGGGGTGGGGGAGAGCTGCTGGGGTGACCCCAATGCCCCATAGATCATCCCCGTGCCCCATAGATGGCCCTCAACCCCCATAGATCATCCCAACGCCCCACAGATGGCTCAAACCCTACTGGGGTGACCCCAACCCCCCATGCATCATGCCAGGGCCCCATGGGTGGCTGCAAACCCAGTGGGGTGACCCATAAACCCCCCTTAGATCATCCCAATCATCCTGAGATGAAACCAAACCCCCATACATCACCCCAACACCCCATAAATCATCCCAAACCAACCAAGGTGACCCCAAACGCCCATATCATCCCAATGCCCCATAAATGGCTCCAAACCCATGGAGATGACCCCTAAACCCCCTATATTGACTCCAAACCCCCCATAGATCATCCCAACCCCCCATAGATCATCCCAGCGCCCCATAGATGCCTCCAAACCCACTGGGGTGACCCCTAAACTCCTCTAGAACATCCCAAACCCACACAGATGTCTTCAAACACACTGTGGAGACCCATAAGCACCCCATGCACAGATGACACCAAACCCATGGAAATGACCTCTACACCCCCTATATTGACCCCAAACCCCATGGTGATGCTCTCCCTCCCCCCAGACGAGATCGAGATGCTGGAGCGGCTGTGGCTGTCGGGGATCTGCCACCAGGAGAAGCTGGAGGTGATGAGCAGCAAACTGGACATCGACAACATGGCCGGGGTGTTCTACATGCTCCTGGTGGCCATGGGGCTCAGCCTCCTCGTCTTCGCCGCCGAGCACCTGGTGCACCGCGAGCTGCGGCACCGCCGGCACCCAGCCCCACGCCCACGGGCGCTGCTGGCACTCAGCAGGGTAGGGCCAGCGTGGGGACAGGGGGAGGTGGGATGGGTATGGGATATGGGATATGGGATATGGAGTATGGGATATGGGATATGGGGTATGGGATATGGGGTATGGGTATGGGGATAAGGGGTATGGGGTATGGGTTATCGGGTATGGGATATGGGGTATGGGATATGGGGATGGGATATGGGGTATGGGATATGGGGTATGGGATATGGGGTACGGGCTATGGGGATAAGGGATATGGGGTATGGGATATGGGGTATGGGATATGGGGAGAAGGGATATGAGGAATGGGGTATGGGATACGGGGTATGGGCTATGGGGTGTGGAATATGAGATGTGGGGTACGGGATATGGGGTATGGGATGTGGAATACGGGCACCCCCCCACCAGTACCACCCTCCCCCCCCAGGGCATGTACAGCTGCTGCAGCCCCGAGGACTCGTCCCCCTCCTCCCCCCACCCCCTCCCCCCTCCCCCTCTTCCCACCCCCCCTCCCCCTCCCCGCGACCGCCGCCCCCCCCGCACTCCCCCCCCTCGCCGGGGCCCGCCCCCTACCCCTGCCCCTCCCCCCGCCGCCTTCCATCGTTTCTACGGCCCCATCGAGCCGCAGGGGCTGAGCCGGGGAGGGGGCGGCGGCGGGGGGGTGGGGGTCGGGCCCTGCCCGCGCTCCCCCCCCCGCCCCTCCCCCCCGGAGCCCGGCCCCTCCCCCTGGTCCCGCCGCGCGCTGCGGGGGCTCTACGAGGTGGGGGGGGGAGGGGCAGGACACGACCCCTCTCCCCCCGACCCCCCCCTCTTCCCTTACTCCCGTTTGTTCTACGAGGACGAGAGGAGCCCCCCGCCCCCACCCCGCGAACGCCTCCCCCGCCGCGGCCCCCCCCGCGGGTTGGGGGTGGGGGGAGGCGGGGGGGACCCCGAGGCGCAGCCGCTGCTCCGCGCCCCCCCCGCCACCCCCCGCGCCCACCTCTGCCGGGGGCACCCCTCCCCCTTCGCCGCCGCCCCCCACCCGTTCTACCACGACCTCTCCGACTCCGAGTCCGAGCCCCCCTCCCCTCCCCCCCCGGCCAGCGCCGCGCCCCCTCCCCCCACCACCCCGCCCTCCTTACCCCACCCCCCCCCTTCCTCCGCGCTCCCCCCTCCCCCCTGCTGGTGCACCCCACCCCACCACTGCTGCACCCTCCCCCCCGGCCGCGAGCGGGGGGGGCACCACCTCCCCCCCCCGCCGGGGCGCTGCTGGTCCGCAGAGAAGCTGGGGGGGGGCGGGGCGTGGGGATGGGGGGGTGGGGGCAGGGGGGGCTGGGGCAGCCTCGAGCTCCTGGGGACCCCCCCGCACGCCTTCCCCCACCCCTCCCATCACCACCACCCCCCTCCGCCCCTCCCCCGCTGCCGGAGCTGCTCGGCCGAGAGGCTCCGGGACTGGGAGGGGGGGCCCTGGGGACACCCCCCTCCCCCCGCCCTGTACCCGGCTTGGCCCGGGGGGGGCGGAGGCGCTCATTGGGGCGGGGGGGGCGGGTTCTGGGGGTTCCCTCCCCCCCCCCACCTCCCGCCCTTTCCCCGCCCCATCCCCCACCCCTGCGGCCGCCGCCGCCCCCCCCCCGCCTCGCGCAGCCTCGAGGACCTGAGCGCGTGGGGGGGGGCGGGGGGGTTCTGGGGGGGGCTGGGGGGGGCAGGGCTGGGCTCGGCCCCTGTCCCCCTGTCCCCCTCCCCTCCCCCCCGCGGGCAGCACCGCGGGTGGGGGGCGGGGGTGGGAGGGGGAGGGGCACGCCGTGGGGGGGAGGGGCCGCTGGGCGCTCGCAGAGGCTCCGCCCACTTCTCCAGCCTCGAGTCCGAGGTGTGAGCGGGGGTCAGAGGTCAAGTTCAGGTCAGGACGGAGCCTGAGGTGGTAACGAGGCTGAGGCTGGTCCCCATAGCAACAACGAGGATGGGGATGGTTCCCATGGCAACAACGAGGATGGGGATGGTCCCCATAGCAACAACGAGGATGGGGATGGTTCCCATAGCAACAACGAGGATGGGGATGGTCCCCATAGCAACAACGAGGATGGGGATGGTCCCCATAGCAACAACAAGGATGGGGATGGTCCCCATGGCAACAACGAGGATGGGGATGGTCCCCATAGCAACAACGAGGATGGGGATGGTCCCCATAGCAACAACGAGGATGGGGATGGTCCCCATGGCAACAACAAGGATGGGGATGGTCCCCATAGCAACAACGAAGATGGGGATGGTTCCCATGGCAACAACGAGGATGGGGATGGTTCCCATGGCAACAACAAGGATGGCGATGGTCCCCATGGCAACAACCAGGATGGCGATGGTCCCCATGGCAACAACGAGGCTGGGGATGATTCCCATAGCAACAACGAGGCTGGGGATGGTTCCCATGGCAACAACAAGGATGGGGATGGTCCCCACGGCGACAAGGATGAGGATGGTCCCCATGGGGATGAAGGTGACAACACGGTGACAGCAGCACCCAAGGGGTGCCTCTGAGGATGAGGATGGTCCCAGTGGCACCCATGGGTACAACAGGGACAAGGTTGGGTCCCTGTGGCTGTCACCACCGGGTGACACCATCAAGGACAAGGATGAGGTGACAAGGACAAGGACGTGGCACTGCAAGGAGGAGGAGGAAGAGGAGACCCACCAGGACACACGGTTTGCCCCCAGAGTGCCACCACGGACGTGAATTGGGTCACCCCATCGCCATGGGTGACACTGTGTCCCTATGGGTGACTCTATGTCCCTATGGGTGACGCCACCACCTGTCCCAACAGGTGACACCATGTCCCCATGGGTGACACTATCCATATGGGTGACACTGTCTCTATGGGTGGCACTATATCCATGTGGATGACATCACATCCCCATGGGTGACATTGTCTCTATGGGTGACACCATTCCTATGGGTGACATTGTCTCTATGGGTGACACCGTTCCTATGGGTGACACTATATCCCTATGGGTGACACTGTCTGTATAGGTGACACCATGTCCCTATGGGTGACACCACCGCCACGGAGGACACACCCGGTCCCCGAGGGTGACACTGTGACCCCCCCCCCAACAACCCCTGATGTGACCCCCCATATCCATGGGGGAGGTCACACAGTGTTGGGGACACCCTCGTGTGTGCCCCCCCCAGCGTCGTGGGGGATGGGCAGGGGCCCACCCCCATCACCCCCCCCCGTGCTGCTCCCCCCCATAACTTGGGGGGGTGGAAAGAAACCGTGACTGTGACCCCCCATTGTCTTTGTGACCCCCCCTTGTCCCTGTCCTCGTCACTCCCCACACGCTCCTGTGTCCCCCAAGTCCTGCTCCCCCTTGTCACCCCCTGTCCCCCTCTATGTCCCCATCAACCCCATTGTCACCCCCCCAAGTTCCCCCTTGCCCCATGGCTCACCCCTGACCCCCCCTCCCCCCTTGTGTCCCCTCCCCCCAATAAAGCAGCTTTTCTATTCCTGCCCCAAACAGCACCTCAATTTGGGGGGGAGGGGTCACCTGGGAGGGGACACTTGGGGAGTGGGGAGGGGTCACTTTCCCCCCTTGCCCCCCTCCCATTTTGAGGCCATTTTCTCTCTTTTTGGTCACTTTTATTCTTGCAGCTCCAAGATCCCGCGTGAAAAAATAGCTCTGAGCCCCTCCCCCACCTCCCCCCGCCCCCCCCCGTTTGGCACCACCCCTCCCCCCCTTCCTGAGTCAAACCCCCCAAACGGGGGCACCCCCCCAAACAACCCCAAGAGATAACGGGGGGGAGGGGTGGGGATTGCACGAACCCCGGGTGGGGGAGGGGTAATTAATTATTAATGAGGTTAATAAATAGTAATGGAGGGGGAGGAGCTTGTTCCAGCACAGCCCGGGGGGAAGGGAGGGGCTGGAGACCCCCCCCAAAAGCACGAGGCAAAGGGGGGGCCCCCCAAACATGCAGCGAATTAAGGGGGGGGGGAGGGGCGGGCGGGGAGCGATTTGTCCTCATTAGCATCTCATTTGCATAGGAGTCATTGCATAAAGCTCCCACCGCCATTGGGGGGGGGGGGGGAGAGGGGCCCCGGGGGGGGGTTGGGGTGAATTCCGGGGGTTTTAGGGGTATTTTTTTGCATATAACGATACCTGCAGCAGGGGGGACATGCAGACATGCGGGGGACCCCTCCCCCACCCGGACAACCTCCCCCATGGGGGCCAGGGCCTGAGTTGGGGGCTGGGGCCTGGTCCTGGCGCCATGGAAACAGAGCCTGAGCTTGCAGTGGTGTCAGGCCTAGTCCTGTTGCTATGGAAACTGAGCCGGACCTCGCAGTAGGGGTGAGACCTACTCCTGTCACCATGGAAACCAAGCCTGGCCTCGCAGTGGGACCGGGCCTAGTCCTGTCACCATGGAAACAGAGCCTGGCCTCGCAGTACAGGTCAGGCCTAGTCCTGTCACCATGGAAATGGAGCCTGACCTCTCAGTAGAATCGGGCCTAGTCCTGTTGCTATGGCAACACAGCCTAGCCTCACAGTAGGGATTGGGCCTAGTCCCATCACCATGGAAACAAAGCCTGCCCTTGCAGTAGGGGTTGGGCCTAGTCCAGTTGCTATGGACACAGAACCTGGCCTAGCCTGTTGCTATGGTAACAGAGCTTGGCCTAGTCCAATCACCATGGAAACGGAGCCTGACATTGCAGTGAGGTCAGGCCTAGTCCCGTCGCCATGGCAACACAGCCTGCCCTCGCAGTGGGGCTGGGCCCCCCCATTCACAGAGGGGGGGGGCTCCAGTTATTGCTCTGGGGGGGGAGGGGAGCCCAAGGGGGGGAGGGGACACAAACACAAGGGAGACAAACGGGGGGGGATGGGACACGAATGACACAGATGGGGGGGAGGGGGCTCCCCAAGTCCTGAGTGATCATGGGGGGGCGAGGACACCCCACACCCCCCCATGGGTGGGGGTCAGAGGCTCCCATATTGGGGACACACACACACACAAAAGGGGGGTGGGGGGGGAAGGACACAAAGTGCAGTGCAGCCAATGGGGTGACGCGGGGGGGACACACCCCCTCACCCCCATTCACAGTCATTGAGGGGGCCCCCCAACCCCACCCCAGTTCCAGTCGCTTGGGGGGCAGGGAACCACCCCCTTGAATTGCCACTGATGAGTTGATCACTGCCCCCCATTGGGGGGGGGGGGGAGCAGGAAAAGGGGGAGGGGGGAGGGAGGAAGGGGGTGTCAGCCCCTCCCCCTTTAAAGGATGGAGGGGATGGGGGAGCGGGGTCGCCGGGGGGGCCCGGGGGAGCCGAAGGGGGGGGCAGCGGGGGCCACACGCACCCCCGTGATGCTGTTGAGGCTCCGCGACTTCTCATAGCCTTGGGGGGAGGAGACAGAAATGGGGGAGGGAGGGGGTCAGTACCCTACAAACCCCCCTTGGGGACCCCCCAAACCCTCCCCCCCTCATGGACCCCCCAAACCTCCCTCGGGAACCCACAACCCCCCCCACAACCCCCCTCTAGTGCTCCATAATCTCCCCCCCCCCGCCCAAGTTTGGGATCTACCCATTCAGGGGGCGTGGCCTTCGGATGAAGGGGGCGTGGTCAAGCAGAGGGGGGCGCGGTTAAGCGGCAATGGGAATGGGATGGAGCGTGGTCTGAGCGTGCAGGAGGCGTGGCCAAGCGGAGAGGGGCGGAGGCTAGTGGCAAAAGGGGGCGTGGCCAAGGGGAGTCCCCGCCCCCCTCCCCTACTGACCTGCGACCCCCGGCGTGGGCTCAGGCGGTGATGAGCGCTGGGGACAGAAGAGGACGGGGTCATACGGGGTCGGGAGGGGTCACACGGGGTCACGGTGGGGGTCACACGGGGTCAGGGGGGTCACCCCAGGTCAAAGACCTCAGACAGTGATGGGACCTTGCACAAGGATGAGCCGCACCCCCCCCTCCCATTTCTCCCCCAGTTTAGGGCATGGGGGGGGCACAACCCCACATGAGGGTATTGAGGTCCCCGGGGGGGTGGGGGGGCTGTGAGGAGCCCAAGAGGGACATGGCGGGGGGTGGGATCCCCAAGTGTTATTGGGGTGCCCTTGGTGGGGAGGGGGGAGAAGTTTGGGTGCCCCCGGGGGGGTCCTGATGGGCTGGGGGTGCTTGAGGGGTCTGTGAGGGAGCTCAGGGGGTCCTGGGGTGCCCATGGTGGGGGTATCAGCACCCACCTTCCTGCAGAGGCCCCTGGGGGGGGGCGCGTAGTCGGGGCCCAGCAGGAAACAGGCTCTGTCCCGGCCGCAGCGCTCCCGGCCCCCCCCACCGGTGGCTGCCGTTTGGGAGGGTCCTGTTGGCCCCGTCCCCCCACCTCGGTCCTCGGGGGACAGGGGCTGGTCAATGGGGGGACAATCCTCCTGTGCCAGCGCTGCCGCCCCGTTGGGACGTGCCTCTGGGGGGGGACGGGACACAGACACTTGTTATGGGGGGGGTGTGACATCCATACAGGGATGGGAGCCCCCCCTCATATGGGGCTGAACCCCCTCCATGTGGGGCTGGACACCCCCCTTTGGACTACAGCACCCCAAAATGCCCCCAAGATACATGTGCGCCCCCTGAAACACACCTTAAGTCCCGCCCCCATAAAAGACCAGGGAGCCCCAGATAGCATCACCCCCACACATTAAATAAAGAGACCCCCCCCAAAATAGACCAGACCCCCCCACATAGCATCATGCACCCCAAATGGAGTGCCCCCCCAATATAAGACCAGGGACCCCCAAAATAGAGTCAAACAACCCCAAAATACCACCCTCCCCCCCCTCACAGGGTGCTCACCAGCACGGTTGATGTCCACCACCTCCTCCTGTGCCAAGGGGCAGGGGGGGCCCCTGCGGTGGGGCCGGGGGGGACTTCCAGGGGAGCTGTGGGGGGCTCCGGGGGCTCCGTATCCCGGCGATCCCGGCTGGGGGGGTCTGGGAATGTGTTTGTTCTTCTTCTTGGGCAGCTTCTGCTTGGCCATGGCCAAGGAGTAATACATGCCGAAGTTGTTGACGATGACGGGCACGGGCATGGCGATGGTGAGCACTCCGGCCAGGGCGCAGAGTGCGCCCACCAGCATCCCGGACCACGTCATGGGGTACATGTCCCCGTACCCCAGCGTCGTCATGGTGACCACGGCCCACCAGAACCCGATGGGGATGTTCTTGAAGTAGGTGTGCCTGCTGCCGGTGACGTCGTCCGGGTCGGCGCCGATGCGCTCGGCGTAGTAGATCATGGTGGCAAAGATGAGGACGCCGAGGGCGAGGAAGATGATGAGGAGCAGGAACTCGTTGGTGCTGGCGCGCAGCGTGTGGCCCAGCACGCGCAGCCCCACGAAGTGCCGCGTCAGCTTGAAGATGCGCAGGATGCGCACGAAGCGCACGACGCGCAGGAAGCCCAGAACGTCTTTGGCGGCTTTGGAGGAGAGGCCCCGGAGCCCGACCTCGAGGTAAAAGGGTAAAATGGCCACGAAGTCGATGATGTTCAAGCTGCTCTTGACGAAATCCCGTTTATCCGGGCAGAAGCTGACCCGCATGAGGAACTCGAAGGTGAACCACACCACGCACGTGCCCTCCACATACGTCAGGAAGGGCTCGGTCTCCACCTCCAGGGCCACCTGGGTCCATTGGGTGCCGTTGGCCATGGGCACCGTCTCGGTCTTGTTGATGATGCGGTTGAAGGCCTCGTGCGTCTCCAGGCAGAAGGTGGTGATGGAGATGAGGATGAAGAAGAGGGAGGCGAAGGCCACGTACTGCAAAGGGCAGAGGGGGGGAGAAGGGGGTCAGGAGATGGGGGTGGGGGGGGATGTTGGGTTGGGGGTGATGAGCAACCCAAAGGGCTTCAACCTTCATGCACTGAACTCCCAGAACTTGGTGGTAGGACCCCCCACACCCCAAATCACTGAACCCCAACAGACTAATGGGGGTGCACCATTCAGGCTCCTGCCGCCCCCCCCCGCCCCCCAGTGTATTTGGGGCTGCAGGGACATGGGGGGGCACACACAACATGGGAGGGATCCAGGTCAGATGTGGGGGGGACAAAGAGATGGGGGGCCCAGGGGATTTTTGGGGATGTGAGAGGATGTAGGTCAGGATGTGGGGGGATATAGGAAACAGGAGGGTAATCTAGGCCAGGTGGGGGGGTTTGAGGACATGGGGGGGCACAGGGGATGGATCTAGGCCAGGATGGGGTGGTAAGAACATGGGGGGACACAGGGGACACTGGGGGGGGTGTGATTTTGGGACATAGGGGTGGGGAGGGGAGATCTGGGGACATGGGAGGCACAGGGGACATGAAGGAGGATCTAGGACAGGCTGCTTGGGGGGGGAGGACATAGGGGGCCCCTGGGGACATGGGGGGGATCTAGGCCAGGCTGGGAGGGGGGCTGGGGACATGGGGGGGGATTTAGGCCACGGGGGGGCTGACAGAGGGAGGGGAGGGGATGTAGGACAGGTCGGGGGGGGGAGGGGGCACCGCAGTGCGGTCCCGCTCCCCCCCCTCTGTTCCCCCCCCTTCCCTGGCCCAATGCGGCAGGATCGGGGCCAGCGCCTGCGTGGGGGGGACACACAGAGGGGACATTGAGGGGGAGCCAGGGGACACTGCAGCGGGGGACGCAGCGGCTCCTGCCCTGTCCCTGCATAGCCCCCGTGTCCCCCATCACCCCCAGGGATGGACCCGACCCCCCCCCACCGCTGTCCCCTCAGGGCTCCTGCAGTGTTTGTGTGTCTGTGCCCCCCCCAGAGTCCTGCAGTGTCCCCAAGCACCTCATGCCCCCCCCAGAGCCCCCCCATGGCCTCACAGCCCGCCTAGACCCCCCCTTAACCCCCCTCAGCTCCTTCAGTGTCGCCCACTCTCCTCAAGGAGCCCAACCCCCCTCAGAGCCCCCTCAAATCCCCTCTAGAGGCCCCTAAAACCCCTCAGAGACCCCCTTAAGCCCTTCACAGCCTCCCCATCCCCTCACAGCACCCAAGACCCCCTAAACCCTCCGAGAGGCCTCCAGGACCCCCTTTAGAGGCCTTTTACCTTGCCAGGGCCCCCCAAGACCCCCTCCAGGCTCCCTGAACCCCCTCACAGACCACGTGAACCCCCCAGGACCCCCTAAATCCACCCTAAGTCCTCTCAAACGCCTTTGAGCCCCCCTAAACCCTTTCAGACCTCCCTCTATCCCCTCACAGATGACCCAAACCCCCTTAAACTCCCCTCAACTCCCCCACAGACCCCGCACCCCACCCCCAAACCCCTCAGGTCCCCCTCAAAGGCCCCCCTAAACCCTTTCAGATTTCCCCTAAACCCCCTGAGACCTCCCTAAACCCCTTTAGGGACCTCCTGAATCCCCTCAGATCCCTCCTAAACCCTCTCAGACCCCCCTAAACCCCTTCAAAGGCCCCTAAACCCTTCAGATTCCCCCTAAACCCACTCACGGACCACCCAAACCCCCTCAGATCCTTCCTAAAACGGTTCAGACCCCCTCAGGGATGCCCCAAACCCCCTCCAATCCCTCCTAAACCCCTCCAGACCCCCACAACCCCCTTTAGATCCCCCCTAAACCCCTTTAGATCCCCCCTAAACCCCTTCAAACCCCTCTAAACCCCCTCAGGTACCCTCCCAACCCCCTCAGACCTCTTTAACCCCCCTCACCCTCGCCATCTTCGAGGAGTAGGGATCCTCGAACAAGGCCCAGAGCTTGGGCCTCCACCGCCGCCACCACCCCGCCGGCCTCCCCTCCTCCAGGCACAGCCGCTTGGGCTCGGCCGGCTCCGGGGGCCCGGGCTCCTCGGGGGTCTCGAAGCTGTCGAGCGCCTCCTCGGCGTCGCGGTGCTGCCGGTAGTTCATCCAGCAGCAGGCCTCCACGTCCGTCTCGTCGATGCCCCAGAAGGCCAGCTCCTCCTCGAAGAGCGGGCCGCACACGTCGGCCGGGCAGTGCAGCTTCCCGGTGCGGTAGTAGTTGAGCACGTAGGCGAACACGGCCGGGTGCCGGTCGAAGAAGAACTCCCCCGCCGAGGGGTCGTAGTCGAAGCGGGCGGCGGCGCCGGGCTCGGCCAGGCCGGCGAGGCGGGTGCCGGGCAGGGTCTGCAGGGTGCTGCGGTACGTCTCGTGCCGCACGCCGCCGACGTTGATGACGACCTTGTCGCGCTCCGCTTGCCAGCCCATCGCGATGATCGCGATAGAGAGCGAGGAGGGGAACGGAAGAGACCGGAACCGGGCACCGAGACCACCGAGACCGAGACCGCAGCCGCCGGGCTGAGAGAGCGGAGCGGCCGCTGCAGCATCCCGCCGCCGCCGGAGCGCCCGCGGAGTGCGCAGGCGCGGGGAGGACACGCCCACCCTGAGGCGAGGCCACGCCCACTGTGGGACCCCGAGGAGAGGACACGCCCACTGCTTGAGACCACGCCCATTGACCATATACAACGCCCTCTGGGGAGACACGCCCACTGAGAGGGAAACCACGCCCACCACCGCGGAGGACGCGCCCACTGTGAGGGGGGAGCGGGCGGGACCACCCCAAGGAGTCCGGGGGCCCCTGGAACGGGCCGGGGGGGGAGCAGCAGAGTCCAAAGTAGCGCCTTTATTGAAGCAACCCCAAAAGGGGGCCCGGGCCCCCCCCGGCTGCGGGGGGGGCACCCGCAGCTCGCAGGGGTCACCCGGGGACACCCCCCTCTGAGTGTCACTTGGTGGGTGCCAGCCCCACGCGGTCGTGGTCCCGGTCGAACACGGCGTAATGTCGCGTAAGGAACACGTCCCCCAGGATCCAGAGCGGACCGGCGGGAGGGGGCACATCCAGGGCCATGAACCCGCTGACACAGGTGGGGGCCCCCCACTTGGAGACCTGGGAGTGGGAAGTGGAGAAGGGATACGGGGTATGGGGCATGGTGTAGGGGGTATGGGATAGGGGGTATGGGATAGGGGGTATGGGATAAGGGGGTATGGGGTATGGGATATGGGGTAGGGGGTATGGTATAGGGAGTAGGGGGTATGGGATAGGGGGTATGGGACATGGGATATGGGGTATGGGATATGGGGTATAGGGTAGGGGATATACGACGGGGGGGACATGGGGGGCAGGGGTTCCCACCTGCAGCACGTAGTCTTGGGGACCAAGCGTGAACTCGTGCCCCCCCAGCACAAAGGTGATGTTGGGCAGGGACGGGACCTTGTCACAGTCCAGCAGGTACTGGGGGGGACACACAACACAGAGGGCGTGAGGACCCCCCCAAAGGGGACACCCCCATCCGAGGACCCAAGGCTCCATGTGCCCCCCACCCACAACATGGGCTCCATGGTACGGTCCCCACCTGCCCCCCCAGGGCGGGGATCGCCCCCAGGGCTCGCTGCAGTATGGCCATGTCCTTGCTGGGGGCGGTGATGAGGGACGTGCCCGTGTCCACGATAGCCTCGCAGCCCCCCCCGCAAAGGGGGGGGTCCCGGCACCCCATGGACCCTGGCGAGCCCACAGACACCCTGCGGGGGGGGACAGAATGGGGAGGTTATGGGGTGAGGGGTTTGGGGGTGCTGTGGGGCAGGTAGAGGGGTTTGGGGGTGTTTGGGGGGGGGGTCTCACCTCTCCATGTGCACCTGCCAGTAGCTGCGGCGCGACACTGGGATGTAGTGGAGGGGGCCCTCGAACTGCTCCTCGTCGATGCCCCCCAGCAACAGCTCCCCTCCGTCACCCTCATCTGCCCCACTGCACCCCACAGTCAGGAGGGGGGGGCATTAGGGGGGCTCCGAGGGTAATTACAGTGTAGTTGTGGGGTAGTTACAGTGTAACTGGGGGGTACTTGTGCTGCAGTTTGGGGTAGGCAATGGCCAGTTGTGGGGGGGTAACTGAGGGGTAGTTGTGGTGTAGTTGGAGGCTACTTGGGCTGCAGTTGGTGGGTGGTTGGGGGGTAGTTACAGTGCGGTGAAGGGGTGGTTATGGTGTAGCCAGGGGGTAGTTAGAGTGTATTCAAGGCGTAGCTGTGGTGTAGTCAAGGGGTAGTTACAGTGTATTCAAGGGTTAATTACGGTGTAGTCAAGGAGTAGTTGTGATGTAGTTACAGTGTAGCCAAGGGATAGTTACGGTGTAGTCAGGGGGTAGTTACGGTGTAGTAAAGGGGTGGTTACGGTGCAGTCAGGGGGTACTTGGGCTGTGGTCAGGGGCTGCCTCAGGCTGTAACCACATTACCTGCGCAGGCGGAAGGAGAAGACGTTGCTGCTGAAGAGCCGGTTGTGCATCATGGTGTCGAACACGGGCCGCGCGGGGCCGGCGGCAGCGCTGGGGTACGCCAGCCCCAGCACCCCATCGAAGCGCGCGGCTGCGAAGGCCAGGCCCGGCAGAGCCACAGCCTCGGCGAACGTTTGCCCCGGCACCGAGACGTTGGCCACCTGTGGGGCAGAGCATCCCCGGGGGCAGTGAATGGGGGAACCTCCCCCACCATTGGCACCCAATGCATCCGGTCCGGCCCCTTCGCCGAGCCCCACCGTGAGCGTGTCCTCGCTCAGGAAGCCCCGGAGGCTCCCGCTGCCGTAGCTGATGGCGAAGGCGGTGCCGTTGGGCCGGTGGGTGCAGGACAGCGCGGGTTGGTAATGGGGGTGCAGCCCTAGGGGAGGCGGGGGCGTCAGGACCCAGCGGAGCCCCGGCCTGGCCACGCCTCCACCGCCAGGCCACGCCCTTTGGCATCAGACCACGCCCCCCCGTTAAGCCCCGCCCCTCACAGCAGGCCAGGTAGAGCAGGCAGCAGCGGGACGAGGGCACCCAGAGATCGGCGGAGCCGGTGTCGAAGATGACCCGAAAGCGCTGGGGGGGGGTCCCCAAGGACACGGTGCCATAGAACTGAGCCTGTGGGGGGGGACACGACGTGATTACGTCATCATGCCCCCCCCCAATCCCCCCCTTCCCTCCTCCTTAGGACCCCCCCATCCCTTGCCCCCCCCCCTCCCCATTGGGGTTGGGGTCCCCCCCTCACCCTGCCCCCCCCACTCACATCCATGTAGTTGTGCAGGCGCACGGGGGCCGCGGCCGCCCCTCCCCCGCTGCGGCTTCGGGGGCCCCCCCAGTCCCCCCAGAACTTGGGGGGGACCCAGGGACCCCGCTCCAGGGGGATGCTGGGGGGGGGGTGTGGTCAGTGAGGGGGGGGCCAATGAATGGGATGGAGCCAATGAATGGGATGGGGTCAGTAAATGGGATGGGGTCAGTGAATGGGATGGGGTCAATGAATGGAGGGGACATGGGGGACAGGAGTGGGGCATCCACCACAGAGATTCCCCAAGGCTTAATGAGCTTAATGAGGTTAATTAATAAGGCTGATGTGGGGGGGAGAAAGGAGGAACCAGGGGCCTCTTTGGGTGGGGATAATGATCTTAATGAGAGATTCATGAGCTAAAAGGGGGGGTCCCCAGGGGTCTACTGGGTCCTAATGAGCTTAATGAGGTGATGCGGTTAATGAGGGGTGGGCCAAGGGGGTGTGACCTAAGCAGGTTAACGAGGGGATGGGGTCAATGAGTTCAAAGGGGGGACCCAAAAGGGGTGTGGCCAAGGGGTTTTAATGACGTCAGTGGGGGTTCCCCAGGCCCCGCCCCCTGGGGAAGCGGTTACAAAGGACCCCAAAGCCCGAGGTCACCCTTTGGGGGGGGGGAGGTCACCCTAAAGGTCAAAGGTCAGGCGTGGGGTCACGCCCCCGCGGGTGGGGCCGGGGCTGAGCGGGTCCGACCGGCTCCTGCCCCCGCCGGGCCCCGCCCAGGACCGCGAGAGCCCTGCCCCTCCCCCCAGTGGGAAACCCGGGACCCCCCGCCCATCCCCCCCCCCGGACACCCATCCCCCAGCCATGGGAACCCCGTTCTTGCTCATCCCCCCCCCCCCCCGATAACCCCCAACTCCCCCCCCCCCGGGTACCCCAAACCTCAGGTTCCCCCCGCAAAGGGTGTCCCCCCACTTTTACCCCTTACCCCCCTCCAAAAGACCCCTCCCCCCATGGGAACCCCCTGCGCATCCCCCCCTTTGGACTCTTCCATCCTCACCCCAAAAAAACTTAACCCCCCCCAAGTTGTCCGATTCCCCCACCCCCCCAACATTCCCACATCCCTCACCCCCTGGAACTCCCCCATCACCCCCATTCCCCCCCCCATGAGACCCCTCCCCCACCAGGACCCCCCAAAACCCAATTGTTCCCCCCCAAATATCCATGTGTTCCCCCCCCCCAAAACCCCTTTCCCGCCCCCCTTCAGGATCCCCCCAAACTCATGCCTCCCCCGCCCATCATTTACTCCCCATCCCTTATTCCTCCCCCCCACATTGACCCCCTCCCCCAGTTGAGCCCCCCCCCTCGCCCCTCACCGCAGCATCGCGCCGGCCCCGGTCACCAGCAGTAGGAGGCGCCCGAGCGCGGGACCCCCCATGGCCGCGTCTGTGCCCCCCCGCGCCCGGCGCGCGCGGGGAAACCCCCCCGAGGCCCCACCCACCCCGCCCATGGCCACGCCCCCCTTCCACGCCCCCTTCGCACCCCTCCCAGAGCCACGTGGGGGCCGGAGGTGACTCAAAGGGCGGGGGGGGAACCCCAAAACCACCCCCTCCACATCCGGGGGGGGGCCTGAAAGGGGCCCATAATTAGGGGGTGCCACGAAACCGCCCCCCCCCAAGTCACATCCTTGTGGGGGGAGCCCCAAAACTGCTCCCAAACTGGGGGATACACCAAAGTTGGCCACAATGTGGGGGGGGCCCAAAACAGCCCGTTAAAGTGGGACACCCCTCCCAAAATCGACCCATTATTTTTCCTCCCCAACCAGCCCCACACTTAGGGTGTGGGGACCCCTAAAATCACACACACCTCCCTCCCATGGACCCAGTCATTGGGGTGGGTGTGAAGCACCTTTATTATCCATGTGCCGGGGGGGGACGGACGGATGTGGGGTCCCCCCCGGACCCACACTTGGGGGGTGGAGTGTGTGTATGTGGGGCTGCCCCATATCCCCCCCCCTCTTTGTGATATGGGGCTCCCCATTTTGCTGTGGGGCTGAGCCCAGGCACTGTGAAGGCATTGAGGTGATGGGGGGGGATACAGGGCACCCCAGAACCCCCCCATATATGTGGGGCTGAGCCTGAGCGAGTGCTGTGGGGCTGACAGAGGTGGGTACGCCCCGAATCCCCCCCCCACCCCATAATGGTATGATCCAAGTGCTGAGCCACACTTGCCATTGGGCTGTTCCTCGTGGGGCAGGGACCCGGGGGTCAGTTCCTGGTGGGGAGCCCGGGGGGGCTCGGGGGG